AATTTGTAACGTTTCATCCCTAGGCAGAGTTAAAAACGATATAGAAACGCATTCGCTATCTTAAAAAAATGTAGGCTTTCGCCGAAAAAAGGTGGTCCCCCGGCGAATCCCCAAGAACCGACACGCCGTATATTACAAGGAAATATGAAGTATTAGGAATCCGGAAGCGCGTTTCCACCTACAGTTGCCGGCGGGCGGTGCTCGCGCTGGCGATCGCCTTGTCGCATTGGGTGGGGAATTGCCGCGCCGCCTTCCGTTCCGTGTCTCGGCTCCACGGTGATTGGCACATGGTGGGCTCGAGGGCGGTCCTGCAAAAGCACATTAAACTGGCACTGTTGGCTAATCGGCTTCACGGCACAAGTTCCCAAGTTACCAACAAACTACACTCTGAACGCCATTGTTTGGGGTGTCGAAAATGGGTTTGAACGAAACGAAAAACAAACGAAAACGAAAATGGCTATGTTTTTAAGTTACAAAATTTTTAATGATATTTTTGTGGTATGCTTTTCCAACGCCATATCGAATGGCACTAGTGAAACGCCGACGTAATTCAAAAGATTAGAAAGACTGCGTGGCCACCTTTTCCGCCCCGCTCCTCGAAGTGTACCGGAAAATCAATTGACATTACCACCTTGTATTCCGGCGCACGACTTCCTCCTTGGCCCGCGTCTTGCTTTCTGGCCGCAGCATGTTGAGGGGGCCGCACGACAGCATCCGGTTTTGCGAATGGGTTCTAAAAAAATTGAATCATCGCAGGGACATTTCTTTTGGTGAATGCAGGCGGGTCTGCGGTTTTTGCCCGTCGTTTTGGACAGAGTTCAGTCTGAAGCTGAACACATTTTTCCCGCTGCTCACAATCCCCCACCCGCTGACAGTCCATACCGCCAGGTAAAAGATCCCAACACCAATTTTGCTTGGCGCTACCTTGGGTGGTGGTGGGAGAACAACATCGTAACGCTGCAACCAATCCAAGTCGTGCAGCTGCGACATGGCCAGGCGGGCATCGCAGTACTACAAGAGAGGATTGATAGATTCATGACATGCAAAGCTCTGACCATCTGCTTGGCCTTATTCAGATCCGTGTTGGCTTGTATTACGGCATCTCCGTCATCTTTGGCCTGGAAAAGAACAAAGGTGGTGCTAGAGGAAAACCTTACCAGCGTTTTTAGGACCTGCAAATTCTGTGTGAAGCGCTGCATCAGCTCCTCAAGCTCTTTCGTGGCCGCCGATTCCTTGAGTTCGTGCTAGAAACGGTTTTATAAAAATGATACAAATAGACGAGAAAGCCAAACTAAAAATTTCGAAACTTCTTTTTCGAAATGCATGAACTATGGCTAAAAAGTTCAAAACTTTATTTTTACTATTATTATTACTATTGCTATTATTTTTAGTCAAAAATTTTAAAAATTTTTTAGAACTTTCTAAGGATCAAGAACTATCACAAAACACCATCAAAGCAAACTTCATATTATTAACAGCCAGGTAATAGGAATGTGAATCATAAAAATTTGATTTGGTCAAAATTTGCTACAACTGGCAAAACTGTAGAAGATTTTCAAAGTATGATAATCTATAATAGACAATAAATTATTGGCCGATCCGAAGAAGCCCCTGCGCTAACGAAACATTCTGATTGCCCACTTCATTGCCCAACATCGAGGCGAGGTCGGCTTCTTGCCCGGCGAGGAAGCCTGCTGCCTCCTCTTCGCGCAGTTTCTGAATGCAACAACGTTATTTGCAGTAAAACGATGATTCGCGGAGAAGCGTCCGATTTAATGATAGCTATCGAAAAAGCAAGCAAACAATGGACAGGAAAAGGATTAAGGTTTCTGATCCGAGGTTTCCATAACCAAAAAGCGTAAATTGCCGGGTTGGGTGACCCCCGTGGTTGGCGGTTTCCCGTTAAACGTGGCCGGTTTTGGAAAATCAACTTTTTTCCTGCCGGTCCCAGAGGGCTAAGGAGCTTTGATATTCTTTTTGGCACTTTTGAACCACATTTAAAGCAGAAAATTTTCGAAAAAGTTAGAAAACGTAAAACCGAAACTATTCTAACAAATCTTGTAAATTTTTGAAATTCTTCGACCTACAATTAAATTTTTAATTAAATTCCGCAAAGTTCTTATGCTCAGATATAGTTAAAAACAAAAAAACAACCTTCCACAAAAAAAAATCGAGGCTTGCGCCGAAAAAAAAGTTGGTTTGAAAACAGGTATAAGAAAAAATGGCCAAAATAAGGTCGAAAATCAGTAATCTTCAGTAATCAGAATCTACTAAAGACCTTTGTATAGCCACTCTCCGCCCAAATAAACTTTTAACGATTTGGAATAGAAAGTCATGCGGAGTTTGAGTAAATTTGTTGCAAGACGACGATTGCACACAGTTCTCATGCACTTTCATCGCTCGTAAAAATTTAGACCCGCAGTCGAATCCAATGATAGCAGTGGCCAGGCCCGTAGCAGCGGGGGGCCCAAGGGGCCCTGGGCCCCCCCCCCGAAATCGGTCGAGGTCCGAAAAATTCATAAGGGGGGGACCCTTATGATTTTTAGTTATAAAAATTTTTCTGCCTGCGGCGCTGTTTATTACTGTTTTTCAAACAGTTTTTGCTTATATGAAGCCTATTTTTTCTGGTTTTTCATTAGTGAATCAATTGTTCATAAAAATTTTGGCCTGCGGCGCGTTTTCTGCCGTGTTTCCACACGAATTTGTGTGTAGCGAATGCTTTTTTGCGATTCTTTTTGCCTGCGGCGCTATTATTGAAGGGATTTTCGGATGTTTTAAAAGTGGCGACGGGGGGGAGGTCGCCAAAATTTTTGGGCCCCCCAGAAATTTCGGTTCCGCTACGGGCCTCAGTGGCCCACCAGTTGAATTTTGATCGATATGTCGCCGATTATGAAATTTCGACATCATAATTTCGACATTATGAGTTTCGACATTATGAATTTCGACATTATGAAAATAAGCCGGCATTGCCACACAAAATTTCTGGCGTCTTCACGCATTGCCCATCATTTCGGCTTGTTGGATCGTCACAAACGGCCCGGCGACCGTCGAGATCGATCAATCTAGCTCGTTACCGGGCATTACAACATATAATTTACGTTGCCCTATATTCTCACTATAAAGTGTTTTTAATTCGGCTGGAATTTTGGAATGGGACCAAGCCTATCTTGTGCAGGATTTTTTGCTTTCCCAGAATTCGGAATCGGACCGGATACCAACTTTTTTCTTAGGACCTGATTTTTCAAATTTAAATAGGGAAAGTGGCTATAAATGTTTTTTACTGTTGATGTTTTCCTAAACCTGAAAAGCCGACAAATTTTATTAAAAAACATAAAAACAACCGATTTTACGACTTTTTATCATTTTTTTTAAAGTTCTTAGATATTTTTCTAGTTTGAATATATTTAGACAGGATCAAAAAAAAAAACAATTAAACTCTGTCTAGTAACTTACTAGACCTTTCTAGACTTCTACAAAAAGTTTAGTTCCCCCGCCCGATAATGCGAATGAACCAAAATCTTAACTTTTTAAATAAAAGACGGCAGCGAATTTGAAAAAGGGAGTCGGAATCGGCAAAAACTCTGCACCAGATAGGCCTGGTCCCATCGCGAAACGCCAGCCTCAGTAAAAACACTTTGCAGACAGAGTACTGGTGTTTTTTCGTACCGAAAAGAATTTGCTAGTACTTTTCGGCAGCACCGCTCGAAGTTTTTTGACGATAGATACCACTCGTTACGCGCTTATGAAAATTTTTACGTCTGCGCCCCCGTAAGAATCCGCGCAAAAATCCCACCATCTTGAAAATTGTAGACGACGTTGAGAGAGGGTGGGTGCGGGGTCGGCGGGCGGGGCGGGGCGCGGCGGGGCGGGCCGGGGCCTGAAACCCACTGTAATATTATACTACGCGAAGTACAAAAACTACACGAAGTACAAAAATCAGGAGAACCTAGTAAAATTAAAAATGACATCTACCTTGTCCTTTAACAGGCTTGAGAACACCCGGGGGCGGGTGACGGGCGGTGGGCGGTGCGGGGCCTGAAAAGTTTTTGGTTTTTGCTAAGTCGAGATAAGGTTCTTGTGTATTCCCGGGGATGTGTATTCCCTTGTGTATTTTTGTGTTCAAAATACAATGCACCAGCTCGGGCTGCAAAGATAATGATAGAAAATAAGGTTCTTATGTTTTCCCGGGGGAGAATTCGCGGGGGGGGGAACTGAACTTTTTTTTGGCCCAAGCCTAGATTTTTTATATGAATAGTGGAAGTGTTTCTAAATTGTTTATAGCTATTTCTAAACATAAAAACCTTACAAAATCTAATTAAAAAATTAATTTTAGGTCGAAAAATCGATTTTTTTGGCCCAAAAATGACCAAATCTTCGACTTTTTCAAGCGTTTTTCTGAGTTTTTAAAAAAATTTTCCGATTCAAATAAGCTTAAGTTTTGCTAAAAACAATGTGAAAACACTTTATATTCGCCACCAGGCCCGACAAAAAAGTCGGTCCCCCCAGCGAACTCTTTGAATTTGAATCTGAATTTAGAATTCGCGGGGGGGGAAACCATTTTTTTGTCGGGCCTGGTGGGGATCGACCTAAAATTAATTTTTTTAATTAAATTTTGTAAAGTTTTTATGTTTCGGAATAGCTATAAACAATTTAGAAACACTTCCACTATTTACCGTGCCGGTCATAATTTTGGCCCACACCAAATTTTCGTGAATTTCTCGGCCGCGGACTAAGGAACGGGAAAACGCTTCAAGTATGTTATGCACCTCGCTATTGAAAAACAGGGGCTGAAAGGAATTCCCGGAAAAATGTTTACATTTTGTAAAGTGTTCATGTTTAGGAATGGTAAAAACCATTTAGAAACACTTCCGCTGTTTATATTGGAAAAATTAGATCGTAAGAAAAAAGTTGCCGCCCCCCCCCCGATACTGCGAAAGAACCCCGAATTTTTTGACATAAATTTGGTTGGCGAAAAGAATGGCTTTTGGCTTGCTGGATCAATCGCAAAATAGGCGCTTCTTACCATTTGCATGGGTGGGTTCCAAGTTGTTGTCGTATTGTCGCCCTTGGGCTTGACTTGGACGGCGTGGGCCGACGATGCGAGCCGCTGCTTCGCTGTGGGGGCAGCTTGCAGTTGGAGTGGCATCATCTGCAACTTGGGTTTTGATCGACTCTCTCGATGGTTAGGCTTTATGACCTGCAGCAAATGTTCCCCGTTTCCCCTTCTTTAATCAATAGCAAACGTGTCTTAAAGGCGCTCGTGGCCCAGAAACAACAAGCTTCCAAAAGTCTTTCCAAAATATGCAGAAATGGGGATTGTCGCCCGAAAACGCTCCATTTTCTTCCAGTTTCTAACGTTTACGAGGTATTTTGCCCCTCGAAATCATCGAAATGTCCTAAGCAAGCCCGGGAAATTTTGCCTACGATGCGGCTATCCGTAAGCGGATTTCTAAGCAAAAGCTTGGACGGTAAGAATGGTTTTTGTCCTCGATCTTTTTCGAGATTACCGCTAGTATAAATCTTGTTCCCCCACGGATACTAAAGAAATGTGGTTTGTCATGACGCGCTTTTGATTTTACCCGAGGTTCTACTAGACATCATCGGTGTTGATAAGCCAGAGGGGGATCACTGACTCGCTTCTCTGGTAACCCTTCAGGACGAGCAGCTAGGCGTTGAAGCACGTTTCGGGCGGGGTCGGGCGCCTAAAATCAAGAATCATCAGACAGGCATTTTATTCATGTTTTTTGTTTGTTGTTTCTTCTTCAATGTGCATCTGCGGTTTTCGGGCGCGTTTTGGTAAGGTTTAGCCTAGCGAAATACAAACCATTTCTTAGCATTTTACACAGTTTCAATCGTAAAAGTTTTCCACGGTTCACTTTTGGGTAGAAAATGTACGAAATTTAAAAAGTTCAAGGTACAAAAACAATTTTAGAACTGTCAACTCTTTTAGAAATGGTTTTTATGACTTTCTAGCAATGAAAAACGGCTCGATCCTAAGATTCTATACTGATGCCGTTTTAGGTTATTTCGCATTCTCGGGAGGAATCACCTTTTTTTGCTTATGACCTAATTTTCCAAATATAGATAATGGAAAGTTTCTAATTGGTTATTTACCATTCCTAAACGTAAAAACTTTACAAAATTGTATAAAAAATTTCAAAAATATCGACTTTTCGAACGAAAATGGCCGGGTTATGACCACAATGCCGACTTTTTAAGTTTAGTTTCTTAGCTGAAGTATCGTTATATACCACTAAAAACATTCATAAAACGCTTTCTATCGAGTTACTAGGCATTTCGATATACATATACAAAAAAGTTCGCCCCGATAATGCAAAAGAACCGCGTTTTAAAGGGATGCCGACGGCATAGTCAATCGGTTACGCGCTGGAAAGAAAATCTCGCTGCCCCGTTGGCTACTTGCCAATTTGTTGATGGGGTGGTGGGGGGAGCGACACATGCCGTCGGCAGCCCTTTAATAGGCCAAAGCTGATCACCGACCATCTCGGGCTCGACGATACTCTCGTCTGGGTCTCGCGCTGGGGACGGAGGAGCCGCAGAACCACGAGCAATGTCACCCTGAATGCATTTGCTTAGGAAAATTGAAATTCGATATATGAAATGAAAAAGGAACAGCAGACAGGCGTTCCCGGCTCGCAACAATTTTCCGGATGGATCTAGGGCTTGTTTACCTGCTTGACTTTTTTGGGCTCGAACTCGGCCAGCCAGTCAGCGGGGTGTCGGCTCAGCATTTTTGCGCGTAGGTCTGTGTACTACAAGAGAGTACTCTCAGAATCTCGCGCAAAGACCCTCACCACCGATCGGGCCGCATCTCGCGCCTTCTGGGCCCGGGCATGCCTGGCTCTTTGGAGAGCCGCCTGAACACAACGGGAGATTGCGAACAATACAAAAGCCTACCGTTTTATCCATTTTCGTAAGCGTGCTGAGACACTTCTTGGCGGCATCCCCGAGCTGCTTTGAGGAAATGATTTCCTGATTCTGTGCCTGAAATGGTGGAGAGGATGAAATCGCCATGGCCCTAGAAAGCAAAAAAATGTTCGCGACAATCGATAATGCACGATTGGGTGCCCGAAAAAGAACCGCCCTCGGCAATTGGCCGTCATGTGCAGCCTTTTGGCAGCTCGAATTTTTACGATAATTTAAAACAAAATGCCCGTGCTTTTTCCGAAATGTTGGTGCCCTTTTCAACCCCGGCCCCCGGTCTCGGACCTGTGAAAGGCTTCGATTTGTACGCGTGTTTCCGAATCCTGTCAAGAAAAATGGTCAAAATCGGCGCCTTCAGAGCGAATTTTCTCGAAAACCGTATCGTGCAGGAATTTTGAAAGATGGAATCTGTTCAGAGCTTAGCACCTTTTGTTTCTATACAAATATTTCAAGAAATGTTGGAAATTCGAACAATTTTACCTATTTTTGCTCATTTTTCATAAACATAAACCAGCGCCCAAAACCCGCTTCGCGGGCCCTGGGCGCTGGAATGCGGCCTTTGCATGAGAAATTTGGCTTTCCGATAGCTTAGGTCCTTCGGACCCCTGCCCTCCTCCGACCACACCCGCGCGTGCAACTTGCAAGAATGAGGAAATTTGTATTTTTTGGAATTATGCAAAGTAGCCCTCCCTAGCGCCGGACACACACACACACAGAGATACACCCCAAAATTATATAAGGTAGGATATTATTTTAGATCTCAAATCTATGTAAAATTCCTTCAAAAAGGATTGTCGGGGGGCTGGTTTTTTCGAACACCCCGTAGTTACAAGAGCATGCTGATAAATGGCCCACCCTCTCCACGGCAGTATCAGCAGTTCCCAAACTCGCCAATTGGCCACCCGAGTATCCGGCGCCTTCACATTGTTGCAAATCCTGAAAGCAATTTGGTCAATTAATTGCACATAAGACATTTAGGATTTAGAAAAGTCTATCGCCATGGGCCGCCGTAGCAATTTGACGGCCTAACGGTTACTACTACCATTTACCGCTAACATTGTTTTTGCAACACCCCACACTCCTTCGGCGCTATGTCTTTGGCATAAACAAAAAAAAACGATTACAAGCCTTTGATGTTTGCTCAAAGTTTTCTAAAAAACTCTCCCCACCCCCGAATTCAGCAGTACGCGGAATATAAAGGAAACTCGTCCGCGAAATAGAACACCACCAAATTTACTTGTTCAAATTTAGCAAAAGCAATCACTCACGGGGAGGTAGTTGGCGGGCCGGTGCCCCAGCTTTCTTGCCTCCGGCAGCGGAGCTGGCTTTGTGAGTTCCCCTGCAAGAAAAAGTTTAAATTGTCGATTTTTAGCCGCTATATCGCCCTTATGTCTCTCTGCCTATCTTTGCAATTACCGCGGGAATTTAAACATTTTACGTCTGACCGAAAGCTGCTTCAATTCAATCCAATTTTCCTTAACTAGAAAGACCGGCGTTTGTCAACGTTTTACCAATTTCTGAGCGGAAGAACCTTACAAACTTTTAGTCAAAACTGCAGAAAATGTGCGATTCTTGACCAGAATGAAATGGGCTATTTTTCACCAAATTTGCCGAATTCGAAGTTTTTTGGACAGTTTTTCTGCTATAAATAAAGTGAAATGACCATTACCTGACTAAGAATTTCTGGACTGATAAGGCAGACTCCCGAAAATTGCGGGCATTAAACGAAAAACCCGGAAGACATCAAGATTTTCGGAGCCAAAAAAAAAGAAAAAGCGAAAAAACCGTCCGCGGGCGGTTAGATTGAACCAAAGGGTCAACAACTACCGCAACTGGCGTCGCCATTTTTGAGGCGCATCGCTTCGACCATGGCGTTCAACTGCAAACATGGGTATTCGTAGGCCAAATTCGAACCTCGAACTCCTCCTCGCGCATCTGTTGCGCGCTGCGGCGAGCAAGATTATGAAGGAACCAACGCTGAAAGAAGAATCATTTCAATACGCGATTTTACGCTCAAAAAAAGCATAAAAATTAGGTGAGCAAACCGCATGAGCCTAATCGTATTTTAACAAATTCCGATTTTCTGTTGGGGGGGGGAGGTAGTTTACCCCGCCAGGGTTAAGAAACAAAGGGTACTGTGCTATTTGGAGGCTCAGGGTTCTTCCAATTTTTGCTATTTTTCGGGATTTCTCGCTGCTGTTCAATACAGCATCGAAAAATGTACTAAGAGTCGGCTTTATGGCCCAGAATAATGTAATACAAAAACGTTATAGCAAACACCTATGAAAATCGGGTTTAAACGTTAGTCTTCGAAAGTTTCGCTACTTTTTTGATATTTTAAGGAATGATTCGATAAAGCATCGAAAATATACTAACGGTTTTAATTATACCAAAACCAATATTTAACCGTCGGTTCGGTACTGTTCGATTTGACCGGGGGCAAAATCTACCCCGGAAGAAAATTAAGGAAAGTTTTGCATAACTTTTTCATTTTTCTTTATTCCGAGCTGCACTTGGAACTCTTACTATATTTTTGACGCTCTATCGATTAACCTTCAAAGTATCCTGTAAATGATGAAAATCTCAAAAACGAGCGTTCCACTCCAGGTTTCTACGTGGAAACGACGTTTAAATCTTGTTTTGGTATACATGTCTTTAATTACAATATTTTGGGCTACAGTGATGCATTTGTGGATGTCATCAAATGAAGGGGTCTTCAAAATATGGAAGAAATGGCGAAAATAGCAAAAACTAGCTTCTCAGCCCGGTTTTCGGAGGATTTTTGTTGTTGTCGCTATAGCTTTTTTGTATAATACGATTTTCAGCTATAGCCGAAAGCTCTTAGTATATTTTCCGTTGTTTTATGAAAACGCGAAGAGAAAACCCCCGAAAAAATATCCAAGTTTTCGAAAAATGCCGCTGCCGTTTCGATAGAACAGCAGCGGCAAGTTAAATAGAACAGTTCCATGGAAATTTTTAGAGTTCCCACATTTTCGATGTACGGTCCCATTGCCGCATGTATGTTCATGTAGTCGAGGATGAGCGTTTCCATTTCGCGGTGCACGCAGTGGTCGTATGTCCCGGTGCTCTCCTACAATGCTAAGGATCAATGTAAAATTGCGTACCATGGTGATTTTGGAAGCTGCAGTAGATGGGGGCTGCACCGAAATAGATGGAAGATCTCGGCCGACACCTGGAAAATGCTATGATATGTCGAGCCGCAAAATTTTTGTGAATCAGTGAAGGTCTTTTCTGAAAGTCGCGGGCTCGAGAAATGCCTGGACGCGTAATAGCCAGAACCGTGTTTTTGTATAAATTTGGCTTATTTCAAGTGGCTAAAATATTCAACAGGAATTTTTTGGTGAAAAAGCAATATTGTTAGATTTTTGGTTCTGGTTCCTCAGCGGGGGAAGGGAATGTCGTAGAATTTACATTTTTTAACGGACTAAATCATCGCGACCCAGTAGAGCATCAACAAATATACGCCGAATTTTAGTTTTAGATTGAAACAGACGTTGTTAGAAAGCAAACAGGACCCTGGAAAACGGGCTGAAACTAAGATTTTTATATACAGCTGAAAATAATGCAATTTAAGACACGAGCCGCTATTGGTAGAAAATCTTCCCACCCAGCCCCCCCCCCGCTCACGAACCAGCACCTAATTTTGAAAACTTTGAAAAATAAGCATAGTCTAATAAGCTCGGCCAACACTAACAAGGGCAGGGCGGTAGATGTAGGCTACGCAGGGGCGGAGGAGGGGACAAACTGTTGCCTACCGAAACTAATGCAAACAAAGGCCTTAGTATATTCTTGGATGCTCTTTCGAGTCGCATCTTCAAACTGGCAAATAAAAACTCGCGAAAGCGCTCAAAACCAGCATCTCAACCCGATTTTCCAAGGTTGTTTTGCTTTTTGCTGTAACTTTTATATTACAATACCAGTGTTGAAAAGCCGCTTCGCGACTTTTCAACCCTGGTCCCGGCGGATCACATGATAATCTTCACTCTGCATGATTCTCGCGATTTTAGATGGCAAAAAAATGAGAAACGCCACCTTTCTTCCCTTATATAGGCTACCGCCACTTCCGGCGTATGCTAATTGTTTCCTAAGAAAGAGGGCTCTCGATTTTTCAACGAAAAACTTAATTTTAACATCGAAAACAGCAAATTTTTGAAAATTGGTTATTGTGCAGTCATCCCAAGGCCATTACGCACCTAATGAGGTATAATACATACCCCTAACTACCCCTCTTATTGAGATACTGCTGGAACACGCTGACGGAAGTTGTATGCAAAGTGGCACACACACACACACACACACACACACACACACACACACACACACACACACACACACACACACACACACACACACACACACACACACACACACAGACACTATTTTTTATATATAGTAGGATTTCGACCTAGAAAACTCGGAGGACACTTTTCGATGCTCTTTCGAATGGCGTTACCAAAATCACGAGAAAATAACCAAAATATCGAAACGGGCAACTACGTTCTGCCCTCCCCCCCGCCCGAATAGCCTAAATATACGGGAAGGTCATTTAGGTCAGGTGCCTATTGGGCCTTCTAATTGTAGAGAACCCCAGGAAGAATCACCTTATCTATAAGAAGCAGAAGACGCCGCGGGGAAGAGCACAGAAAATGACGGCGATGAAGAAGAACACCAGCAGCACCTGTAAAAGGGTGGCGATCACCTTTCCGAACACCTGTCCGAAAAACATCCGTCCGAAAAACACCTGTCCGAAAAATCGCCTGTCCGAAAAAACATCTGTCCGAAAAGTCGCCTGTCCGAAAAATCGCCTGTCCGAAAATCATCCATCCGAAAATCAACTGTCCGAAAAGTAAATTTCGGACCATGAAATCGAAGTGCGACTGAAACTTCCCAAGACCTTCAGGTAATCTATTCAAACCGGATTTGTGAGAAAATGGGAGGGTAGTTTCCGGGGATACAAACCGCTACTGTATCATAAATTTTTGGAGAGTGACTCAATGAGCTCGGGCAGGCATTCCCTAAGATACGGCCGATGTAACTTGGTTTGGTCACGATTCCGGGGCTTTCCCCACGTGGGGCTATCTGGTGGCAGTTACACCTCGAACCTTTAGGAACTCACTAAGTAATTCGAAAAGGGTTTTGGTTGGCTGCTTCGGACATTAGTTTTTCGGACAGATGATTTTCGGACAGGTGTTTGGCAATCCCTGTAAAACGATGCGTATCTTTCATTTTATCCAAGGAACACCATACTACAACGATGTCCCTAGAGACAGGCTGTTTTTTTTCTCCAGGAAATGGTGGATGATCCATTATCAATTACAGGCGTAAGACTGCAGCTTATCCCCTTTGATTGTGGGCTGCCAGTTTTGTTTCTGGACGAATAGCGGTGGGGAGTGGGGATTTTAGCGGGACTCCCAGTATTTCTGTACGCCCCTATAACGAAATATAAATTATTTTGATGGCGATCTCAATAGGTTTTAGAAATAAAAGTAAAAATTAATAACCTACTTACTATTATTAACCGCGCATGCCGGGTTCGACTCTCGGCCGCGGCACGGTTTTTGCTTTTCCAGGGCGAAATGGATGGGTGGTTCCTTAACCAATGTTCCTCTAAAAATGCGTTCTAAAAGCTAGATTTCGATATTTGGGCTATTTTCCGACATTTTCAATATCTCATTCGATAGACCGTCAAACAGAAGCCTAAGAATTTTAAGCGCAGACAAGCAATAACTAGTAATAAAAACCCTTCGCATTATCCTATCGGGTAGTAAACTATATCAAAATACTCGCCCGAGCAAAGCTAACATTTTGGTATACCTTACATACCTGTAGGCCAACAGGGGGCGGAGATAAAAGCGTTGGGCGCCGGCTGGGGGGGGCAAGGGTAAACTGCAATGGAAACCAGCCGATTACAATCGCGAAGCGGCTGTAATCGGGAGAGGTATCAATGAAAAATTCGAGCCTGCAACCTAATTCCTAACAGTTGCCGCTCCTGCCGATTTTGTGAAAACACCCGAAAGTAGTTACCGAAAGAGCTGCGCGAGACACGTGTGCCGACGACGACACGCAGAGTCGCCGAGGGAAACGCGGCCGGCGAGCAGACCCGAGACACGGGCGAACGAGCCGCCGCCCAAGAGGCGGAGCACGACGCAGGGCAAAAACTCCACGAAATTTCCGGGCAGGGGGAAAATTCAAATGCAATGGCCTATGCAATTTACGCATGCGTGAAGCATTGACCAGCTGCCAATCAAAATGGTCACTCAAAGCCGAATTTCTCAGAGTGATTAAAGGATTTTTTTGCATAGGATTCGGGGGATTTTTCGGGAAAATTAGCGGATGTAAATTTTGACATTCTGTATTTCGAGATTACGAAATTTTGACATCAAGAGATTTCGATATTTTTAAATTTCGGTATTATGGAATTTCGACATTGTGATTTTTTATTATTTGAAAGAACCCCTGGCCTTTGTTATTTCGGATTTGTCCAGAATGTCAAGATGTCTTCTATCGAATGGGCTATGCCGCAGCCCGAAATTCCAAAAACACGTAATCGTAGATATTCTTTAGGAAATGACGGCACAACTTCAAACGGCCTCCGCAACTCGGAGGTGTTGCAGACAAGTTGGTTCTTGACGATTGTCACGACATGCCTACTTGCATGGGGGAAACGCTATATCGGGGGTTCGTCTCTCTCCTCTCTCTCACTCTCTATCGCTCTCGCTCCAGCGCTCTCTCTCTCGTCGTTACTCACTATCTCATTCTGTGAACCAGCGCCCAAAAACCGCTTCGCGGGCCCTGGGCGCTGGAAAGGGGCCTTTGCATGAGAAATTTGACTTTTCGAGAGCTTGGGTCTACGGATGTTATTATTCAAATCAAATCTGAGGATTTGAAAGTGTTTCTCAAATCAAACCAGGGTTGAAAAGCCGCTTCGCGTCTTTTCAACCCTGGCCCTGTCTAACCAAATCATATTCTTCACTCTGCATACATCTCTCGAACGTCTATAAGAAAAATGAAAAATTCCACTCTCTCGCGTTATAATAGGCTGCCACCACTTCCGGCAGATGCTAATTTTTTCCTAACAAAGAAGGCTGTCGGATTTTTCAACAAAAACTCAATTTTAACGTCGAAAATAGCGTAATTTGCAAAATCTGATATACGTGCATTCATCTCGCGACCATTACGCACCTAATGACGTATCATACGTAGGTTAAAACTCCTCCCCTCTTGCGATATTCTGCGGACACGGTGACGGAAGTTGCATGCAAATGCACACACACACACACACACACACAGAAACTATTTTTTTATATATAGTAGGATCCAGATTTGATTTGCCTTGCCGGCAGAACCAAATCAAATCGGATTTGATTTGAAACGGAAGCCCAATTCAAATCAAATCCTGGACCAATTTGATTTGATTAATTTGAGAAACCCAAATTTCCGAAGCAAATACGAGAAAAAGGATGCTTATTGGCAATTTCCGGTTTATTCGATGATGAGCATATGCAAAACATCAAAAAGTTCCCTCTTTCCCTACATTTTTTGGTGCTCGACTTGTGATTTACATCCTTAAAAATGACTCCAGATTTGAAAATCCAGCGAGTTTCAAATCAAATCCAGATTTGATTTCGGCGGAATCAAATCTCAAATCTTCTTATTCAAATCAAATCGGATTTGATTTGAATAATAACATCTCTACTTGGGTCCTTCGGACCCTTCCCTTCCTCCGACCACACCCGCGCGTGCAACTTGCAAGAATGAGAAGATTTGTATTTTTTGGAATTATGCAAAGTTTTGGAATAATGCAATCCCTGGCGCCGGACACACACACATAGAGCTACACCCCAAAATTATACTATAAGGTAGGATTTGTGCATCCGTCGCTAAATTTCAGAATTGTCACTATTGCTTTTCTGGGTGAAGGTCGATTGTGCAGCTCTGATTTTGGGGCGTACAGACGGCTACAAAAAACGGCGATAGGACGGATACGAAACCTTGACCTTGCAAGATAACGTTTTTTAGGTAATACTGGTCGAGCCCCCGCGTGAAATCACCCCAAACGAGAAGCACAAAATCGACTTTCATGAGCCAAACCATGAATCGTGTTTCA